CTAATTAAAATATCATGCACAATGTCTTGAAATCACTAATAGTTATCATGTAATTTCTGCTTGACATTAATGCAAACAATAAAAAAACATTATCTGGAAAGCAGCTCCCAATTTTTTCCTCATTTTTTTCCCACAGATAGAGCAAAAGACACTTAAAAATTGCAAAGGTATAATTTTAAATGAAATCTTTGATTTAAATAAATGCAGAAGTGAAAACTAATGTGAAATATATGCTGTTGTAGCCACATTATATATTCCAATCTTACATGCTTGTGTACAACTAAACAGTTTTACAAAAATGAAATGTAGATATTTTAATATTTAGTTTGCATTGGAAATTCAATCTCTGAATTTCTCAGTTTTAACTTAATTTCCAAAATGTTTAAAAATATATTTATATTTTTTTAGCAATATTTGCCTTCAAGATTCAAAGATTCTATTCTCTTTCCCTATCATATTACATTTAAAGATTAGGTGATCATATTCTTTTACGTTTTACACATAGATCAATGATCATAGATTAATTCCTAAATATAATCTAACAAATCAATTAAAGAACACAAATAATTGTCGAAAGATGGAGACAGACAGAATACATAGATAATAAAACATTTAAATTTATCTATCCCACTTCTTCAACAATGCCAAGAGCATACATTTCTCAAAGTACACAAAGAAATCTTTCCACTAAGACCTGTAGTAACATCCATAGATTCAGATGAATATAAATCAGTAAATTTTTAAACAAGGTTTTTAGACATTTAGTTCCTATCAGTTATGAAAATACAACAAATAATACTTTTCTAAAGATTTCTAAAGATACTGTTCTAAAGATTACAAGATTAAAGTTAGATGAGAAACACAGATTAGTATCATTTGATATAGTTAATATGTACCCTTCAATACCTCTTGAACTAATTTATGAAGAAATTGAGGTATGTGATTAAAATTTGACATGAAGTAAAATGTACCAAAAATGATATAGTAATAGCCATAAGGTCAGATCAGGTGTTAAGTAATATAGAATTCAAATTTAATGAGAAAACATTTATGCAAAGACAAGGTATCCGAATTGGAGGCTCATTAAGCACTTTATTTGTGGAGATGATTTTGAGGAGTTGAACTGTTCTATCAGAAGTTCAAGTTTTATTTTATTACCGCTATAACTATCATGTATCCAAAGAAACAAGATTTGAATAAATGTTGCCCATAGTTGTAACAGTTCAATCAAAGATATTTAAACAGACTGTGTTAATTATGTTATATTAATATTAAAAAAGGTCATTAAGTAATGAATGTTTAATATTTAAGGAATGTAATTTAGTTTTTGTTATTTGTAATTGTTGTACACAATTTATTGCATAGCCTGAAGATGGGAATATATGAAAGTTGTTGAAAGGTTGTGTTAGTGTGAAAAATGTATGTAAACAAAAATGTGAAAATTTCATTGTTTTGTAAATAAGCCAACTAAAAGAACGGGTCATTATGAGTAATTACAAAATAATATATGTAGTTGGCCAAGAACAAAAACTTTAGATATAAATAGTGTTTAGTTTAGTGTAGATATATCGTATAGTTTGGTGATAGTGTTAACTTAGTTTTTAGTCAGAAACTTACAAAGCTTGGTATCTTGTTACAGTACCAATTACCTCTATCTGTAGCTATTGTCATCCTCTTTCTCGTTTCTTGTGACTATTTCATGGACAGCTATTTCAATATTTCAATTTTTGAAATGTTGTTAAATTCTGTTGGTTAGTTCTTGTTTTCCTGCCTTGTGTCTGATTTAGTTCTAAATAGTCTTTGCGTTAGTGATTTTTTTTTATGCTGGTTCTTTGATCATTTCTTATCCAATGTAAAGTGAATTTTGCATTCGATTTCATTTCCCAAGAGTAGTGCCTGAAAAGACTCTGATCTCTATTTACTGCCATTAATATCTGAATCACTGATTTCCCTAAAGGACTTCAGTAAAAAATTTACGGTTTGCTGTTTACTTGAAATTTGTGATCTACAGGTGTAGAGAGTAATTTGAGTGCAACAATGAGCTACTGCTTGACATTCTAAATGTGTAAACAGACCCAGGCAGTATGGTTGTTGAAAGGCAAAAGGCAACACAGTCAGGGACTAGGACACATTTTGACTCTCAATGGTTGCATTGACAGTTATTAATTGGAAATATTTAAACAGAAAAGTGATTTAATTTATGTGTATTTACTACTAAAGTGAATTTTGCTTAGTTTTTGTATTCATTTATTGTGAATGCCTCTAGAAATTTGTAAGTTCAGTAACACTTGCTGAAACCGGCAGGATTGCAGATTTTGCCAGTTGGTGGACTAAAATATACAAATTTTGTGAATTTAACACACTGCAAACATTCAAATTCAGAAAAATTGATCACATTGTATTAAAATAACCACAGAGTCTCCACAGGGTAGTGTACAAACAAAGGCCACAAAAATAGCAGACCTAAGAAATCTATGATTAGGTACCAAATGAATGTCAGTGGTTTTACCCCAAAATCTTGCAATGGGAAACATCAGAAATCACTGAAGAAAATGAAGGTTAAAACAGTGTTTGACAAAAGTCAACATAGTATAGGCAGTGTTTGATAAAACCATACATTGTGTAGAAACATTAATAAGCTTTGGTGTACTTTTATTATATACTAAAAAAACTGCTTATAAAATATCTGGGGTAAGTGTCAAAAGCGACTTGAGTCAGATTTTGCTTTAATTGCTTAAGACACATAATCTGGAAATACAAAATGTATATTTTGTGTCCAGTTTTATATTCCACAGATATACAACATATATTATATTAGATTTTTATGATGAATATTGAAGTGTTCAGAAATTTTTTTTTCACTTTGATGACAATCATAAAATTTGACTCATCCCTTATGAAAATCAGTAATTCATATATTTCAAATGCTTGATTTTTATCTTCTCTACTAAAACTGACACTTGCTTCACAGAGATGTTATTTATTTTATATTTATTTTTCTACATTTCTTTCACAAATTTTGTAGTGCTAAGAAGAGGGAGGGGATATGAGAATGTGTTACTCAGCATTATAAGGGCTAGGGGGTGTTATTTTAGTGTTATGTTATGCTGATTTTTTTTTTTCAACATTTGTTTAAATAATTCCTTTTATATAATCTTACAGTAAAACATAAAAATATTCACAAATAAAATTAATAATATAAATTAAAAAGTGATGTATAAATGTTTACAAAACTAAAAAATTTATTTCATCTTGTATTTCTATAATCACATAAAGTTTGGGTGATTCTTTTGTTTAACAGGCTTAGGAACTAAACCTGTGAGAATACAAGGTATGTCAATAATGTAGTTTGGTGCTCTTTGGTAAGTTTTTTTGTTAATAACTTGTGCATTTAGCTTTTTTGTGCCCATTTAGATGCTTCCATCCAGATACGTTCTCCCTACACTCTGGGGAAAATATCTCGTTCATGGTCCTTAAAGCCTTACTTTTAATATCCTTATATTTTTGCTAATTTTGACAATGTAAGAATTAACTCAGTACACTTTTCTGTAACATGTTTAATGTACGGATGAAAAGTACCTCTAATCATCAAATATTTCAAAGTGCTTCAACTAATTCACCTATTTCAGTATTTTTTTTGTTTAAGCAAATCTTTCATTTTCATCAAACACCTTTCCAGAATATACCTTATATATATTTTTATTAAATCTAATTTTGTTTTTTTCTGCTCAACCTGCTACTGAACTAGTTTCCAAATTGACAACTATTAATCATCTCTCAAAGGACATTTCTGTTTCTGTGAATTAATCATTATTCAATTTACAAACTGTTCCAAAATCTCTGGGCCATAGTGTTTTAGCCTTGTAATCATCCTTTGTTGTTTTTTTCAACTAATTTTCTGTTTAATGACATCTAAGCAGTTGTTTGGTGGAATAATTTTAATGAGAAAGTATCATTTTTAGAGCATTTAAAAGTTCTTGAAGTAATGAAAACATTGGCTAACATGGTACATCAATATTACCTCTAACATCTAGATTAAGGATTGCAATTGGGTCGGTAATCGAAGATACTTCAACATATTCCTTAATTCCAATTTTCTATATCTACAGTAATTTTTGTGAATTCATATTGTGTCTGAAACATCAAATTATTATTACTAGTGTAGTGCATTATGTTGTTGATTAGTAATTTTCCAAGTAACGTAACTTACCTTCTGTTAATCAGTTTAATTTTGTTAGTCTGTTTGCAGGAGACTGAAGATGGTATGTCTGATATTATTAACTGATACTGCTCAATGACACTTTGTTAGATCTGGGTGGCATTATGCAATAGTATTCAGTTATCCACTCAAATCCATGTATTCTGTCCGTGTACTTTAAACACATCCTCCAATAGATTTCAGATTCAAAGAGTCATCTTTAAGAAAAACTTCATCTTTAAGAAAAATTAATATTCAGTATTAATGAATTTCTATTCAACAACTTTCATTCTTCAAATTGATTGTCCTCAATAGTGTCCCAAAACCTGACAAGTTCATACAATAAACCAAAAATATCTGTACTGATTAAGTGCAATATTAGTTTCCCTTTTAAAATTGTCTTGTTTTTATCAGTCTATTTATCAGTTTCTGTACACTATCATAAATTCAAGATAAAATAAGTTCATAGAATAAAATAGTAAAAATGAATTGAATAAAATAAAAAAAAGCCACAACAGGTTAATTGTACAAAATAGGGATTGAATTGAGTAATGGGAAGGTAAAATAGCAAGAAAAATCTTCAGTAAAGTATACAGAAATATATATTCCAAAAATGTTAAAATATATAAAGTAATGAACATACAAGTAAATTTCTAAATCTGGAATATCCAAGTTACAAATATTTATATAGTTATAATACTGTTAGAGCCTGTAAATTTAGAATTAAAATGTGAGAGTATCATACAATAAATGTTCACATACTCAACAAAAGTAGTAAGTAATGTTCTAATTTAAAAATCACTTATTTCTGGAATGTTTTCTCAACACAAATGCGCACCTTTTTTCTATATTCCTTAATGTTTTCTATGAATAACGTTGCTGCCTCATAATTTGCTGGGGAATTGGGGTTTGGATCACCCAAAAGTGATTGGATAGACAGCAAAATTGTTGTTGCATCATATGCAGGGCTCCAGTGTTCGCCTAGAACATCCAGGCATATGCTTCCATCACAGTAGACATTGGGGTGAAAAATTTCGCTCAGAAACCTCACTTTAGGAGGTTCATTAGGATATAACTCCGTGAACTTAAGCGTCAACCGAAAAATGCCATCCTCGAAAGGTGTGTCTCCTGGACCAATAATAATGGCATTCCATTCCATTACATTGTGTTCATTCGGGGCAGCACTCACACCAGCTGGAGGCTCTTCCTCCAGTTTCTGTAAATCTTTTAAAACCCTCTTTTGGGATCCTGAACACATTTTTCGCTTGGAAATTGCAATAGTAGTATCTAATAATGCCAGCAAAATAGATCCTTAACACTGACACTTTAACCCTGTCGTCTACTCAGAGTTTATCATCCACACGTTACACTCTTACTGAAAGAGACTGAAATACCGATCCACTATGTATGCCATATACACACTCTATTACACTTCGGGAAGAAATGACAGCGTCCAGCTTTGTTGCCAACAATGTGCAAAAAGCTAATAATATTTTAGTTGTTAGTTTCTGAATGCACACACGATTGTTGTCGACGCAGTATTGCCAATATCATGCAGGTCCTCGACTGAACGCACTGAAGTTTCGGGTTGAAAACGTTTTAACCGGTGATATTTATAGAAGTAGTTATCCTTTTTTAATGAATAACTTGTTTTTTGATAATTCACGAAACTAAAAAGGTAGAATTCAGAAACAGCTATTATACGCGCTCGTTTTCTTGAGCCCAGGAATATCAACCCTCATTCCTTACCAACATTAGTGGAATTAAGAATAATGATAGCAACGAGAGTTGTTGACCAAATCTGAATCAGAAATATTTGCTCCCGTGTAATAGAAACTTCTATGCATCAAAAAACGATCTACAGATTTGCTATACCCACCTGTGAACAAAATAAGCAAACCCTACTCCACTCGCATCTAGCGAAATAAAGCCTCAAGAAAACGTGCGCGGATAAAACGGAGCGACCAAGGTTTAGTTAGGCGTCTTATGGTGTGACGGTGCCAAAAGTAACACGCCTGCTTGCCACATCGTGATTAAAGCAGACAAAAATAATGTCAATAAAAATTAAGAAAACACAACACATCAAATAAACACTTGAATTCAACGACTATACGGTCAACGACCAAAACGTGTTCCATTCGATTGTAACTGTACGTCAGCAGAAGAACGGCCCAACAATGCTGCGACTGGATCAACAACAATTTTTATTTTCTCGCTTACCACTACGATGTAAGAGAAAATTTTGTAATACTGCAGAAAAACGGTAACTTGTGGGCAAAAAACTCGTTTTATGGGCCGAGCCGGATTTACAGACAAGCAAACTAAATGGGTGCATGAAGGCCCCATACTTAGGGGAAGCCAGCATCTCGGAACAAGTACATAAAATATTCGAAAAACGCCATAAAATAAGTATCTGTAAAAAATTGTGCTATCATATAGCGCGCTCTACTAAAAAGATTGTAATTAAAATTTGTATAAATTTTTACTGACACGTTATTTCTTGTTATTACCTTCGATACAGAGCTCGATATACACTGCATAACTTACGTGAATCATAAGGATGATGGTTACGAAGGAAATACGAAAAAAGTTGAACGATGCTACAGGTTCTCTTATGGGGGGAATTATGAGAAGGATTCATGAAAAGTAATTATCGGAAGGAAATATGAAAATATGAAAAGACGAACTAAGTAACGTTAACATCTAGTTAATTATACAAAATAGGGATTGAATTGAGTAATGGGAAGGTAAAATAGCAAGAAAAAACTTCGGTAAATATATATATATATATATATATATATATATATAGAAAATTCCACCGAAAAAAACTCGGTAAATATAATATATATATATAATATATATATTAAATATTATATATATATAGAGAGAGCGAGAGCAGAGAGAGAGAGAAAGAGAGAGGGGAGGGTAGATAGATGTAGATAAATTATTAAAGTTCGCCTTTGAGCCTAAATGCTCGGTGGCAAACCATAAAACAATTAGAATTAGAATTACCAAAAAATTTAACCATTTACACATTAGATTTTACTATTATAATTAGGTCATATCA